TATATATATATATATATATATATATATATTTGTGTAAAGTGTTAGAATTTACTAAAAAGGTTAAAATTGAAGTGAGTAATCTTTGGCACATAATCCGCAATTGTTAATTTTAGCTCCATGCGTAGGAGCTGTTATGAGTTGAACAGCCTGCTCTAGCCTTCATTAGAGAAGAAGAACACAGTTTTTGAGACAGGTGGAACTGGATCAAGCTGTGAAAGTGATTTGCTTGAAGCTGGTCATAAGGATTAGAAATCTGGTCTCTTTATTTTATCTTTTAATTTTAACTATGATTATAACTCTTATTATTGGTTTTATTCTTTGTCCTTTTTTCTTTCTTGCCAGGTTGATGACAATACTCTGTCAAATTCTATAAAGGAACAGCATGGAAACTGGCATCCTGAATTGTTAATGGGGTCATGGCATTCACATTATCATCGATCACTTGTGTGTATTTAACCAGTGAGGAGCAACAGAATCTGAACGGAAGGTATCAAGAGTTATTATTGAAGGTAATTCACATCTTTGTTATCTATTAATGGCAGTAGATTTTGTCTATATACATAGACACAATATACATGTGGATTTTGCATGATTATAATTGCTAGAGTACATACCAGATCATATAATTTGTAGAATTCATGCTAGTTATATTTAACATTATATTTAAAATTATAAGAAAGAAACTAGGTACTAATTTCCAGATATAAATGCTTATTAGTTATAAAGAGAGGTTATTGTTCCAACACCACCCTAAAATGTGTTAATAAAAATGACTTGTTGATTGTTATAAATTTACATTTTCATTCATTGCTGTTTTGTCTCACTGTTCATACAAAGAGAACTGCAAACCTTGAAAGGAAGAGTGTTCTTAGTTCTTTTAGTCCTTAGTTCATTTACACAATCATGCTTAATTTTCTGAATTTCTGACCACACTGTATTCTATTTATTTTCTTTTAAATAAACCAAAACAAAGATTAGAGACATCTCTTCAGTATGAATTAGTGTTTACAAAAGAAACACAGTGAAATTTATATCTATCAAATAACCATCATTATATAGGGAGTAGGACAAATAGTAACATTTGTTAAGAATTTATTGTCTTTCTCCAGTATATTTTCTTTCTTACGATTTTTTTTTAAAAAGATAGTGGGTGGGAAGAACAAAAAGTACTAAATTATTCATGAGATATATTTGATAACCAATCAGCATGGAAGTGGTAGAATAGAATTTTATGAATATTTTTAATTTTAAAAGCTATGCTGAGATTCTGTACAAATGACGTGAAATGAGAGCAAAGCCTTTTTTAAAAAGATCTTCATGAGAGCCATCTGCCAAGAGTTTCTGGCAGGATTTTAACAGTATGGGAGAATGAGATGGGGTTTGACAGGGGCTTTTTAATTTTATAGTGGAGCTGTCAGTTTGACGCCTATTAGTGAAGAATATGATATTTTTAATGTCAAGTGGAGAATTAATGTTTTTATTGAATCATTATTTCTTCAAGGTGTCTTTCTTTTTTTCATATGTGTGCACATATGAATGATTGAATGGTAGGTGTATGCTGATTCCTTTTCTTTTTCAAAAGACGTTGTCTAATAGAAAAATGTATATTTCTTGCCCCACCATACCTAAGAACATAGGTTACTATTACTTTATGGCAACAGTTTCCTAGTAAAACTGTTCTTCCACATGTGTAAATTTTGCAACTGCAGAATGAAAGATGAGGGAAGAGAAATAGCAACATCTTTATTTTTCTGTTCTTTATTGTGATTACTTCAGTTAATCTAAGCTATTTGTTAATTTTTAAATTCTTTAGCCTTCACCTAGAATTCTTCAGTCCATTACTGTGTGAATTGTATTGAATTCTATTGGGCTGTATTATGCAATAAAATGGGAATAAAGTGACAGAAATTTCTGCCTGTCTATTGTTTGACTTAACATTTTAGGTCATCAAAACCTTTTCTTTCAATCTCTGAGAATGTCTGAGCAAGATAAACTAGAAGCTGGAAATGAGCTAGACTTGTCTCTCGCTCAACCAGAAAAAGAAGAATATGGCAAATCAGACCAGGTAATAAGAATTGGCATATATTTTCTAATCAATCTATCTTTCTTTTCTCATTTTAATTTTATTAGATGTTATAATTATAGATTCCCTTTGTTCATTTTCAAATATTAGTATATGGTGAATGCGTCTGAAAAATTTGCAAATATTCACTAACATACTAAGATAAATAACAAGAAAAAATAGGATGAAAATTAGATGCAGAAGCTTTTCTTTAATGACAACCATTATAAATAAATTTACAAACATAGAAACAAACATCTTTATGCCTTAATAGTATCAATGATGTAGATAAGGACAAATTATTTGATAGCTACCATATGAAATACTATTATTTCTATTATGCATATTTTCTACTAATACATTTGAATGTGTTGTCACTTGCTTTCCACAGTTACGAAGTGTTAACCAGAACCAGCAGAAAAAGAGATCCAAGGTAGAGTTTTTGTCTGGTTGCTCAGAATTGCAATAGGTTGGCTTGGATGAAAATTTATATCACATGGCTGGTGATGAAAGTTTAACTTTCATTTAATTTATGGTTACAGATATTGCTTTTTTTCAATTTTTGCCTCAGTTCAGTTTTTGGGTCTTTTAATAAATTGATTTGTGTGTTTCTGCTATTTAAGGGGAAAATTACATGACATTTATTTTTTCTTCTCTTTCCAAACATCATGCTTTCATGCTTAATAGATGTTTTCATGTTTACAAATGTCTAGTTTTCAAAGATGAAAAGAAACAATTAAACTAAACTTTCTTATTTTAAAGACTAGGATATTTCATTTAGCCACCTAAATACATCAATTAATTTGTTGGAGATAAGTTTTGAATATCTGAAATTTTGATGAAAGTTTGCATTGCAATTTAATCAAGTTTTTCAAAAGTACTGATTTATTTTTAAGATATCTTAATTTCAAATACTCATCCATTATTCTTAGAGCAACTGAGCAGTTTATTCTTGCACACCAGTTTATCTCTTTTTTTAGTTTTTACTTTTAATGTCTCATTTATCAGCTATGTATATGTATACAAATATATATATTTGTTTTTGTAGATTTTCAGGGGTACAGATATGCAAGTCTTGGCGTATTTGGGTCTTTTCCCATGTAAGATTGAGAGTATCTTGGTGACGTTTCAACAAGGTCCCATTCACCATCTTCAGGCTGGTGCCTTCGGCTTTGTGCTTGTGCGAGCAAAGCNATGTTGCCTTTACACACACACACACACACACACACACACACACACACAAACACACAAACACACCTAGATAAAACTATATAAGCCCAGCTTCACTGATTACAAGTTTGAAAAGGCAATGTGGCTCCGCCTGAAATCAAAGGCTTGGATTGGCTTCCCTCCGGCTACTCTGCCTCTTCTCTCACCCCAGCCTGCAAGCAGGAGGTGAGTGGGTGGGTGGGCTTTATTGCATTTCAGGCATTTCCCACCCAGACAGCAGAGTGCATCCAACTTCTGTGTTTATGTTTGTTTGAGAGAGGGGTGAGGGAGGGAGGAAGGAATGGGAGGGAGAAGAAAAAGAATGAAGGAAACTTTTTCGCAAAGGAGAAAAACAAATGCTGTCGCTTTAAATCGGAACTGAGCATGCCTGGCTGGGAGTTGAAGTCCACAAGTCTAAAAAAATTTGAAACCCACCACTGTGTCAGTGCCTCACCAGCCATAAACCTCACCGCACGTCACTGCATTGGTTTAAGGAGTTACAAATTGCAGAAGACTTGCCCATCTCTGGATTAATAGTCAACTGCCAAACCAAATTCTCTAAAATGTAATAATGATATTGTAACACTTTATTAATGTTTTTTTCCTCTAAATCTCTCACATACTTTAGCCAAATACCTAGAATATTTCTGTCTTTCCTGCAGTAATCTTTTTTCCACTTTTACATCCTTATACATTATTTCTCATTTCCATTTTTACAATATTAATTGCTTTGAACTGTTTTAGTGTTTTGATTCAGTCATTTGTATTATTGAGGTCAGTGTTTGTTATTTTTTAAAAACAATTTGAGTTTATAGCTTCATTTACAGAGCAGACAATGTCATTCTTTTCTTTAAGGACAATATTGATTACCATTGAAGCAAACATAGTATGTATGTATGTATGTATGTATGTATGTATGTATGTATGTATGTATATACANAGGAGAATAAATGCATGCATCGCAGAACACAAGAATGCAGTAAGAAAAAAAGAAAAAACTTCCTCCCTTTTCCAGCACCTTAAAGCTACAGGACATGAAATTGATTTTGAAGGAACCAAATTAATCTCCAAAACTGAATACTTCAACAAGTAAATAATTATGGAAGCTATTGAAATAGAGGAACACCCCCACAACATGAATAAACGTGATGATACCTTCCGCCTACCAGACATCTGGAAACCAGCCCTTGTCAACAAATGAGCCCCACCCACCGTTACAACACAAAACAACAACGAGCACACAGTCAGCATCAATCAGCACGAATCTACCAATCATGGTACAACTACACAGCCAATCAATCCACTTACAGAAACAAAGCCAGCACTTTACACCCACCCACCAAGATTTATAGAAAGACGGCAGCTCTGACCACGCTTTACTCACATAAACACGAAGCCAAAAACACCAGCCTGAAGATGGCAAGTGAGACCTCGCCGAAACGTTGCCAAGACAATCTCAATCTTACATGGGAAAAGACCCAAATACAACAAGACCAGCATACACACACACACACACACACACACACACACACACACACAATTATATTATTTGTTTAGAAATTATTTTACTTCTCTATTTCAGTCAGGAGGAAAGGGGAAACTGGTACGAAGCCTTGCTGTTTGTGAAGAATCATCTCCTTGTCTTGAACCAGACACTGACAATCAGGTATCTAAAATTGTTTTCTAAGCTGCATGAATAATTTTTCTTTTCCTGTGCATAACTGTATATTTGTAAAAGAAATTCTTAATTTGGGGGAATCAAAGTGGCTTTTCACATGAGCATACTTTATTTTTTAATGTTTTTAGTGTATTTCTTTCATATACATGAGTAGATCAACAGTATATCACAGGGTGTTATTTGCTCTTTTTTTCCAGAGCCCCTGAAAATTTCAACAAATGGAAAGGAATTCGAAAGAATTCAGATTAATTATTTTTTTTAAAAAAAAACTCAAAAAGGTTACAATTGTTTTTTTTCTCTAAGGCTATCTCTTTTAAGAATATACCAGATATAAGATTGAATCATTCTGGTCATACAAAATCTTCATATTGCTTCCCATGTTTTAGTTTATAATTATAGCTCAATTTTTGACCCTACAAATAATAGTAATCTATAAAAAAGTGCTTGTATTCCAGATGGTTTATTTTTCTGATTCCTGGAGCCAAATTTCCAATATTGCTAAAATATATTTTATGAGTCTCTAGTAGTATTGTATGAATTAAATAAATAAAAAATCAGAATGGTGTCCATTTTTCCTTTAGCATTTATTGCAAAAAACATATATTTCTATTTGCTTAAAAACATAAATTTAAAAAACACAGAAACCAAAATAATTTTTTTCTTACTTGAAAGAAAATTATTTTTCTCAACATTTTTTACTTGAAGATTCAGATATTAATTGAAGAATGTGATCAGCCCTAGGAAGGGAGAGGAAAGAGGAAATGAATGTTAAACATCTGTTAGCACAAAAATCAAATCACAGTTAAGTGTACTTTTTAAAAAGTTTCGTTTATTAACTTGAAATGACTTAAATTTACTTCTCCTCTGGACTTTTCTCTGGAGAGGTTTTTTTTCTCTGTCTATTTATTTTTTGAATGACCAAAATTCACTGTCCCATATCTTAATAAGCTGTGGGGATTTTATACATTCTCTTGCTGCTCTAAGATGATATTTATGCAGTATAACAATCAAAAAGTTCTTTTATCAATTGTGGATAGTTACTTTGAAAACAATTCTAGTATTTAGTTCATCTTGTATTATTATAAATATATGGCTTTTGTTCTGCATTTTATTTGTATTTTTATCATTTCAAATGGAATCTGAAAGGAGAAATATATAAATATATCAGATTGTACTAAATGTTGCATGATAGTTTCTGATGTTTTCTCTACAAATGAAAAAAAGAATGTTATATTCTATAGGAACTAACAAGTTTAGAAGCAAGTATCTTTTCTATATTGCTCTAATGCTATTTCTTATGGTCCTTATTACTGCTTGACTCACCATGACATGTCACCCAAAAAGTTAAGGATGCAAAGATTAAGTATAGTCTACTACCAAAGCCTGCATATTGAGGATAATTGGCTTCATATAATAAGTTATCAAGTATACTACTTGGTTTAAAGACTGATACATTTTGCATAGGAAAGCTAAATCAGTAGTTTATTCATTTCATTGATCGAAGGAACCTGGAAGAGTTATATCAATGGAAATGGATTATTTTTAAAGTTGGATTTTTCCTCGTTAGTTTTCCTAGCTAGTTTACAAAGCAAAGAGTCTAAGTCATCAAAGAATGTATGGTACATTGCCAGAACTAAAGAGTATGGATTGTACTACAAACCCGATGTTTGTATTATATTTGAAAATTTGCCTTGATTTTCCTGTGTAGGAAAAATCTTGTTTACCTGTATTACTTCATCATAAAAGTTTACCTGATCTTACAATCTGCCCTTATTTTAAAAGGAATGTTGCCTCTAATGTTATATTGGTTTATTAGTGTACTACTGCAATTCAACATTTTGTGATCACTATGCCTAAATTGTATGAATGTACTTATCAACGTTGTAATTTTGCGATTGAAAAAAGTCAATAAAAACAAATATAAGAAACAAACACCAGATTTTTCACGACTCTACAGCTTTCCTGTGTGTTTTTTTCTAATGCAAAGACTATATAGCAAGGTTATGTTATATGTATGACATAGATATATACAGTTATATATACATATATACAGTGCAGTATGCTTATATGTTTGTAGTAAACTGTTTGTAAAGTCTGTCTCCCCCCCCCCATTTTTTTGTAAAACAGCAAATGTACTTAGGAATCACTTTGACTTCAGCATAAATAACTGAAGATGTCAAAGTCAATTAAAACTTTTTCCATTAAGTTCCATGAATCTCATTTCAGTGAGTCTCAGCCCACAATCATGTATTGGATTGTCTTCATAGGCAGCAAAAGCATTTAATTTTTCCTCCCCTCCACATCATAATATAAAAAAATATTTTCAAAATAAAAAACATTTGAGCATAGATTAAATTTGTAAATATTTGTAAAAATGATTATACCATCTCATAAGCTAATTTACTTAGCAAAAAGCACATTTGGGTCCAAATTAGTACAACTTCAAGTACATCTTCAAGCATTGCTAATACAAATAAAATTAGCACAGAGCTTCTGTGACACTGCTGCAAAGTACATGTAAATAGAACCATGCTAAATATTTGAGAAAACTTTAGGATCACTGCATATAATCATGCCATATTTTATTTTTTTAATTAATAAGATTAATTATAATTTGGATTTTTCCCCATCTATCAACATTTAGTTTAAGATATAAAATAGGCCTTTTTCAAGAAACAACACATTAATAATTCCTGGTATAAAATAAAATTAACCATACATATGAATATTGTCAAATTCTGATTATTACATTCCTAATTTTAAGTACATTTATTTAAAATGTCCCACTATTTTAAATAAACTTAATAATGTTTATGTTTCCCTTAAACTTTTCAGTCAATTTTCACTGAGATGAATTCTGCTGATTTCAGTGTAATTTTAATATAAATAATGCTTTTATTTGGCATTTTATTTAAATTGATCCATATTGAATCCATTGGATTCAAACAAACAAACTAAATTCTGATATTCAATAATATGAATAAATCAGAGCTAGTCAACCTTTTTATACCTACCACCCACTTTTGTATCTCTGTTAGTAGTAAACTTTTCTAACCCCCCACTGGTTCCACAGTAATGGTGATTTATAAAGTAGGGAAGTAACTTTACTTTATAAAATTTATAAAGCAGAGCTACAGCAAACCCCTGCCACCAACCATGAAAACTGGAACGCCCACTAGTGGGCAGTAGGGACCAGGTTGATTACCACTGGACTAAGTTATGATACTCAGTGATACTATACTACCCAACCAACCAACCAAAAAATATCCGTAAGAATACATAATTTCTTAAGATTAAGTGTATCAAATATTGTTTGGCTCCAGCATTTCTAAGCTTGCACTTTCCTATGCATTTGGAAGCCATGCCATTTTTCCTGAATCTGGCCCTAAATTATTATATTTTTTTCAACAGGAATCAATACAGCTACAGCTTTCAAGTTTCCCCAACCTACGAGAAGAGGATAAATCTAGTAAAGATGACTCTGAGAAAGAAAAAGAGAAGGATAAAAACAAAGAAAAAAATAGAAACAGTGAAAAAACCAAGATAAGCATGTTATCAAAAGGTGAACAAAAGTATTTCAGTCATTATTTAGTCATTTACACATGGAGACATTTTGAATGTTTGTGTTGCTTTTGTATGTAGTTGAATTAGTTTGTATTTTTTATATTCTGTAATTGTTTGTGAGATTGTGATATACGTATAGTTTATATATTAACTGTAGAATACATATATGATTGGTATATAACAAATGTGATATACAAAACAAATTCTCTTTACATCTAAAATATGTGCTGAAAGAATATCTTAAACTTTCAAAGTCATAATAATTCTGACAATGTACATCCATATAAAGAGGCTTAAATAATTACATAAAGAGAAAGAATTTGTTCTGTTCTAAATAATTAGATTAACCTTCCCCAAAATTTTTGTGGGATCAGCCATGGTGGACCACAGATTTTGCAGTTTGCTTCCTTCTCTTTCCCACCATACAGAGACGCTGCTGTATTACAGCATCAAAACTGAAAACATATGTAATGTTTTTCATAAAAATGATATGCAAATGGCACAGCTGCATTAAAAATATTATAATAGAAAGTGTTATTTGTAAGTCAATGCATTATATATCCTGCCTACATATTTTCAACCTGATTCTAAAATCCATAAGCAGAGTTTATATTAAGAAGAGAAGTGGAAGCAGGGTAAGGACAGTGTGGAACAAAGGAAGAATACACACTAACTGAGTTGCTGCTTAGAGGAACCTATACCATGTGCTTGTAGACTTTTCTATCCATTATTGAAAGTGCTCCAGCATAGGAACATTTTGATGCGATAATAGTTTGCTGTGCATGTATTGTCGTTTATTTAACAGAAGCATTGCCAATTCCTTCTTGACAATTTATTTCTTGCTTTTAGAATTTTTCATACATATTACACAGCATAATTGTAATTATTCTAAATATCACATATGTAAAATATAAAAACTATTGTAGAGGTGACTATCTAAAAAAATGTTCTAATTGTAGTGAATTTATCCCCTGATTTAGGTGCACAGTAGTGGCTTCTTTTTATGATCCAAGAAAAAATCCTTAAATTCCAGGTTTTTGGAATGTTCTTCGTTCAGACCTTTCTATCTTTTCAGATAAAGTACGTTGGGTTGTGATAGCTACAATTAAAAAGAAATGTGTTAAAACCCATCTCCTGTAGTTGCCTTTATAAATGGTCCATAATTTTTTATTTAATCTTCATTTTGGAAAAAGTTTATGATTATATTTTCATTTTGCATGTTATTGATGGCTTAAATTGATGTTCTATCACTATGATAACTTTCAGCATAAAATTGCTATAGAAATAAATAGTACATAAAGTTATCTACTTGAAATATCCAGTCCTGACAAATGATGGTCTATCATTCATAGACTACCTGAATGAAATTTTTGTTTCAATCTTCACTGATGTGCTGACAGGCCAATTTAAATAAATACATTGAATCTCTACAGTAGTAGTAATTTATACCATAACTAATTAGAATCTATATCCATTTTTGTCATTTACTGCACTTTGTCACCTCATTGCTTTCTAGGATATTATTATGATATGGAAACTTTTTCTTTCATGACAACTAACTACATGTGAAATATGAGCTAGGTGACTGTTTTAAACATAATGCTTATGTTCTAAATTCTGGATTTCTTTATGGATTTACTCAAAGGATACATATTTCATAGATAATTCCATGAAAATGAAATCAATTTATTTGATTGACAGAATCAAAGTACTCTATTTTTCACGTGTGGGTATGGGTGTGCGCGCGCGCACACACACACACATACAGACACACAACCTTCCTTAAACTATAAATTAAGTATTTTTAAGAGCCGTGGTGGTTCAGTGGTTAGAATGCAGTATTACAGACTAATTCTGCTCACTGCCGGTTGCTAGCAGTTCGGCAGTTCAATTCTCAGCAGCTCAAGGTTGACTCAGATTTCCATCTTCCTGAGGTCGGTAAAATGAGGACCCAGATTATTGGGGGAAATATGCTGACTCTGTAAACCGCTTAGAGAGAGCTGTAAAGCACTCTCTAAGTGCTATTGCTATTTTATTTTAATATACTGTATATTCAGCATTCACTGTGTTTCTCTAACTAGAAACTACTGATTTCTCTAGATATTCTACTTTTGTAGAAATTCTTTAGCTATTCTAATATATCTTAGATACAAAAAGGTAAACACAGCGAAATGTATATGCATATAACTTACACAGAGCATTGGTCCTGCAAAAATCTAGGGTTGTAGTTTAACGGTAAGTGAGTTCTATACTATTGCCCATGGCTGTCATTTATGCTTGGTTCCACTTGTTTTTGAAGTAGCCAAATCAATAGATTTGATTTGTCCAGTGAACAAATCAGGGAAAGAGCTTCCATGTTTTATTTCTCCATCCCCCAGTCAGCCAATAGTGCATACCAGCAGTTTTGGAATAGTGTAATATGCAAACAAATCCAAAGCTACTTTTATTTGTTATTCTATCTTCTATTTTGGTTTCATTTATCCATTCCTTTTACATTTGCTCAAATATAGATATCTCCAGAATTCAATCATTTTCAGTTTGTAATTTATTTATTTTTAAAAGCAATACTATATATTAAATATTCAGTTGTGAGTGGTGCTTATAATTAAGCATGTGTTCTATTAAAATGTTATTAATGTAAGATGCAAGTTTCATAAATCAGGCACCCCTGAGGACAGATGGAGAGAAAGAAACTTTATTCCACACAATGGCTAGATTATTTTCACTTTTAAACAATGAAACAATTAGTAATGTATGTTTTTTCAGACTGCAGCCAAGAATATACATATACAACAGGCATAGATTTGCATGAATTTCTTTTTAACACATTAAAGAATAACCCCCGGTAAGTCCTAGTTTCTCTCTCCCTTTTTTGCATAGCTTGGCTCTTAGCAATTTGTAGGGATAGAATATTTCTTTCTAGAAAATGGTATTCGTGGTATGTGAAATAATGCCTGTATTAAAAAATTGTTTTAGCAAAACCTACATCATAAGTATGTACTATAAGGCTTGTATCCTACTTTTATCAAAATTTGGCTATTATTGGTCAAAATTTGGCTATTTACATGCATGCTTACACATAAGGGCATATACAAACGCAGACTTCTATAGCATTCCCAAACAGCCTTGCTAAACAAAAGTAACTAAAAAACATGCAATGCTTGTCAAATATAGCTAGCTATGAGATTTGTTTCAGAAAAAAATAGCTCTTATCAAAATGTGAATATTGAAAATCGTCTGCTGGTCATAAAAGAGATGCCATCCTATAACTTAGCTAGAAAGAACAAGAGAAAATGAACACAAATTTTACTGCATTAGTGGCAGTTATGTGTCTCTTGTCAAACAAGACTGTGTACTAGAATTATTGTGTTGTTACATTTACCTTCCTTCTCATCAGGGCTCTTTCATTCTTTGAATTATATTTTTGTTGCCCAGTGCTTAGAGGAAGATCTGAAGCCAGCTTGCAATACACAGTGTGTGCAATATTTGATAGTTTCCAGTTTTTTTCAGGAGAAACACTTGTGTTTTTGTATGTTATGTGAATATTCTGAAAATCAAAGTAATCATGAAGAGTTCAGGGCAAACAAGAGTGCAAAATAAATAAATAAATCACTTTCCATGGAAAAGTTAGAGTAACATTTATAGTAATGTAATGTACATTAATTCAGGAATTATGTTACCCCATGAATATTAATATAGAGGAAATATCTATGTTTAACCTATAATTTCTGGTAGGAAATAAAGCTTTGGGGAAACTCATGATAAATTTTATAGAAATAAAAATAATGTCTCCAGATTTGGTGTCATTTTTCCATTTCAAGATTTTTTAATACATGAGAAACATATTTCTAAATGGAATAGATCTTTTGTTCGTGGAAGAGCACTCATGGAATCATATACTATTTTTCATTGAATGCCAAATCCAAAAACTCATAGTGGCATCCATATTCAAAGCATTATTTAAAAAAATAAATACAAAATGAAATAGGGATATAGCATATACCGTATTCCCCTCCCAAAAGAGGGTGAAAATTTGGGTGCGCCTAATGTAGCCCTGCCCACCCACTGGCCCCCACCCTTTGGCCTCTGCCTCCCAGAGGCCAATTTACCTCCTTACAGCAAATAGGAAAATGGGGCTTGCGGAGGCGACAATAGGCTATGGCAATCCCTGCAGCCTGAAACAGCTGATCATCAGGAGGCTGTGCTGAAACTGAAATCGAAAGTTAAACTTGCTATTTGCTGCTTACTGCAAGGAAGAAAATTGCTGTGAGGTAGAGACAGATCCCCCCCCCCCTTTCTAATCAGGCTAAACTAGTCTGGTTTGCTGTTTGCTGCAAAGAGGTAAGTCAATAACTATAAATGCTTACAGAATGTTCAAATTATTAGATTTTTTAAAAGACTGCTTTATTATTGTTCTAGACAACTTAACAACATGAAGAAGCTTTTTAAAATAAATACTTGATTTGAAGAGGCCCAGTGCTATTGCATCTTTTTTTAAATAGCAGAGAATAACGTATACTTCCAGAAAGCCGCATCAATTTTAACAGTGTCTATACAATTATAGTCTGAAATGTAACACCACAGACAGTGTATATGTCTGTACTGTTTGCTGCAAGGAGTCAAATTGCTGGAAGGCAGAGGCAGATTCCCCCTCCCCCCCCATTTTCCTCCCCAAAAGCTAGGAGCATCTCATACTGTGGAGCATCTTATAATCTTAAAAATATGGTAAGGGAAAAGATTACAGATAAGTTCCACTATCTATCATCCACCTGATAGGGTTACAAATCATCCTGACATTTATCTGTTTGAAAAGCTAGTTTTTAAAAATATTTTCTGAAGAAAAGCATGTTTAGAGCCAAGTAAATGGCTCTTCATCAGGAGAATATTAATGTCATTAAACAGGTCAAGGATAACTAGTTGAGTGGGAACTTTCCCTTTGCATCTCTAATCTCAACTGTTGCCCAAATTCCCATAAAAACATTTCATAGAATTATTCTTATCTTTTCATGACATTTGACATTAAACCAAGTTGCCAAAATATTTTTGAGACTAGTTTCTTCAGTGAACAATGTCAGTTAGGCTGGAATGATTAAGTCAATTGGAAATAATCTTTATTGTTAACCTCGCATAACCCAAATTTTGTGTGTTGTGATTGTTGACACTTGAACATAATGACGGTAGACTTAATTGTGATCTTAAAACAATAACCATCTTTTCTGAACAGTACAGCCTAAGGGATATGTCATTTACAGCTATAATGAAATCAGAGGGTTGATAGAAATTATAATTATTAAGAAGATTTGTGTCTTATTAGACACTCTTATTTTTTGAAATACAAGGATAATAGATTATGCACAACTATCTATGTAAAATACCTCACTCAGGTACAAAAAAAACCTACATTCTTATTTCCAACATATCCTAAGAACACTAGGCCTGCATTTCTTTCTTTGGATAGGAAACTTAATGAATCCTTTCATTAGAAAAGAAACTTAAGCATATTTGCACTACTCATAAATAAAATTCAGACTTTGAATTTCTTTGGTGTAATGAGACATATTTCAGACATTGCTGCCTGTTTTTCTTTTCTTCAGATTCAATTTTTGAAATATTTATTTTTCTTTTATTAATAGGAATAGAATGATATTATTAAAAATGGAGCAGGAAATCATTGATTTTATTAGTGAAGAGAGGTAAGTTTGTTTTCAGTACTTGTTTCTTGTTTTGTGACATCTTTTTATTTAAACATGTCAGAAATATATTCTCAAAGCAATTCTGTTGTATTCCTAAGAATATCATTATTAATATTTGTTTATCAGTGTACAGTAAAAGGAATGTTATATATTCCTTAATGTATATGTTGACTTTATTACAGTTTTATAATTATAATTGAGACTGCCTATTATATTTGTAAGTTGGGACAATTATAAAGTGGTTCATCATGTGACCAATCTCATTTTACAACCTTTTATACAGCAGTTGTTAAGACAACATATAATCAACAATCAATTGCTGCAGTAGTTAAGTGAACTGATTGTTTAATATGGAGCATTTTTGCTGAAAACTGGACATAAATTATGGTTTTCAAGCAAAAACATCATAAATCACATGGCCACAAAATGCTGTAAATGGCTCTAAAAGCAGACCAGTTATTGGGTACCCCAGTTATATAACTATGGGGAAGTGATGACCATTGGAACTTTGGAATCAAGATGTAAGCACCTTTTGGATTCTCTGGTGTAATTTCAAAGGATTAGTCAAAAGAATCCCTCAAATATCTACTTTTACTAACAGATAGAGAAAGTAACTTTATTTGGCTTTGAATTTACAGTGTGATTACTAAAGAATTCAGGGCCAGTGCCCGTGCCTATCTAGTTACCAAGTATAGTTTTAGTACGACAACAACTTTTACACTTCTTTAAGTGCTTTGGAGGTATGGCATGTTCAGTTATATCAAAAACATATTTTTCATTAATATATGATTACCATTAATTTCAAAAGTCAAATTTTCATGTATGTTAAAATATAATCAAAACTTCTGTATTCATTTGCTTGCCTTCTTCTTGTTAAATTTGCAATTACTCTTATTTTCCCAAACTACCCAAAATTGGCATAGACTGTTGGAATGACTTGAAAATGAGTTGAAATAAATGAATAGAAGAAGCAGAGAATTCAGAATCAAGTCTTCATGATTTTACAAATGTTTAAAAAGTGGTCTGCTATTATTCCATCATCTCAGGGTGGCAGCATATTGAGCCCTTTGATGTTTTGTTCCAGTTCCCCCAGATGTCATCGTATCAGCCAATGCTGGTGCACAGAGGGGTGGCTAACTTTGGCATGGATCACAATTTGGATCAGACTGGGAAATCTGTAATTATCAACAAGACCAGCAACATGAGAATGTAAGTGCTACCCTTCTTTGCTTTCTGATTCTCCTTTCCTAAGATTCCTGAATGCATTTTATTCATTATATCCAAGAGTTTCTTTGTTCTTTTATTCCATTTCTTACATATTGAATAATAATTATTTTTTTCACATTCATTCTCACCTGGATAATACCAATCTCATTCTGAAGACCACCAAAATCAGGAAATTTCCTGAAGCAAATCACTCAGTGGACAAGAAAAGTATTCTGAATTGTGCCTCTACAATGAAGTTATTTACCTGCTTTCTTATTATCACTTGATAATATATTTTGAAAGAACAGATATGTTGGAGTAATGGTACATGTAATGACTATGTTTTAAAACAATATGGCATTTCCAAACAACTCGCCCCCCCTCCCTTATATATAGACCTTTTAAAGATTGGATGCTTTACTAGTATAAATTCTTTTTTTCATATGGATTACCATTCCTTCTCAGATTTTAACTGTGTATGAATTAATTCACTTTGCAAAGCAAATAAATTTAAGGCATTTGATTATTTGAAAAACAGATATCTCATAATATAAGAGTTTGAGGTGATAGAAAGGAAAACCTGAATACTATTCCTTGCTTGTTATATCTTAAAACATTGAAGACACATAAATAAAAATACCTAGGAAAATATTAAATCATCTAATATTTTTAAAAATAAAAGTTTATGGGACTTCCGGGGAGGGACCTTGCCGTCGTCGTCGGCTTAATTGAGCTGCCTCCAGATTTCTGGTTCGTTATCTATTTAATATCCAGTAGATATCTCTTTCTTCAGGCAAGAAAAAAGCAGAGAGTGACCCAGTCGGTAAGAGCCTTCTTTGAAGTTTGCAGGTTTTTTTTTAGCTGCGAACGGAGGGGGAGAAACAACCAAGGCTGAGTCATTTAACTCCGGCCAGAAAACCTCAGCTGTTTTTTACAGCACAAGGCAAGGAGACCCCCCCCCTTAGGACAATTTTTGAAACTATATTATTGGAAATTAATACAAGCAGAGCCCGGACCTGAGAACTTTATTCGCTTTTCCTACCAAAATACTAGCTTCAACGTTATAAAAAATTCCTTTGTGTAATTGCTTCTAAGATGGCGATCTTATAGCCTTTGCATTTGTATATCTCTAACTTCCTGGCACAGAATCAAAGGAATAACCTCTCACAAATTAATT